AGATCCAAATCTAAAACCATGGCAAAATACAGTATCACAAATATATATATGAATACGAATATAAAGATGAAAATCAAATATATTAAACGAAACTTCTTGTAATTGAATCACAAATGCAATACAGGATTGCATTACTTTCTACAGAAGCAGAATTTTATACATCAGAGAGAGAAAGGAAATATTACTTTCACTTGATCACTAGACTTAGTGACGGGTTTCAATATAAGATCTTACAATCTTTGCTAACAATCCAATGCAAACCCCAACTTTTTTGGAAACTTTCGAGGCCCTAGGCGAACTTATAAAACAAAGTCGTCAGATTAATCTCCAAAACAACACACGGTTTTAATACACAGCATAATTGATGTTCTCTTAGAAGACGTTACAGAAGATATTTCAAAAGCATTTTTATGAATCTGTTTTTTCACATAGCTTTCAGACAACGCTGACAGCGGCAGTGGCAAGTGTGGTGTTGCCAACTTAACAGGTTTGCTTTCGTTTTCAATTTCAAAGCAAAAACGGAAGAACGAAGCGAAAAAAGTGAAAAGGTAAAAAATAAAAAGGCAACAAGAACATAAAGCCATGCCGCGCTGCCAATAGCAGAGTAAGCAACTTTGGTTTGGTAGCGGCACTGATTGCATATGCCCATTAGTGGCTCGCTGCACGCCCATTGATGAAGCACTTGTGAGTGAGTTCCCCGGGCCCGGCCGGTTGGTCGGCCCGTCATTGTTACGCTAGCATTCGCTACGGTTTATTGTCTCCGGCCAGCTGCCAGGCGGCAACACAAGACTGCAGCGGCGTTTCAATTGAAGCTGGCTCGATGACTGGCGCAAAGGTTGAAAGCGAAGTTAGTGAGTGAAATTCGCGATACACTGTGCTACCAGTTGGAGCGACTGTAAAGCGATACTGCCGCTGGCTTGTAAGCTGTCGGGATTGCCGTGGTGATGTGCCTTTGTGTGTTGATTCCTGACCAAATCAATTGAAGAGCGTCTCGACAAGGGTTTAGTACGTCCGCTTCAATCTCCGACGTTTAATCATCAAATTGCCGTGCATTAAATTATGCATGCATCATGTGGAAGTATAAGGTGAAGAATTGGCAATTTGGTTGAAAAGGAGAAGCTACGAAAACAATATATTTTCAAAAGAGGATTTAAGCCTCGGTTTAACTCATTCGCTGATTGCATATGTATAGTATGTCTATTTTTAGTTAAGTTGGGGTCATAAGAAACTTATATCCTCTTGTTCTTTCTTTTATAATGTTGAAAGAATTGGATCATACTGCTACATAAACCCTCAACTAGTTAAAACATAGTAACTATGGAGGCACGATTTTCAAAGTACCTACTATACTTCGGATTCCTTAAGTTCTTTATATAGCAGTTCAGAAAATTTAACATTATTTTAGGTATCCGCTCGGAGAGACTTATGTAAAGACAACTTTCCGTACAAGTTTTACTAGAGAACTGTCCTTAGACAATGAGTTTTCGACATCCAGTAGTTTAGTATCAGTCGAACCACCTCGTAGAACACTTATTCTTAATAAATTCTTATAAAGCACGTCGGTGACTATTTTTTAGGTATCTTCACGGAAAATTGTTGGGAAGATAACTCTACGTAACCATTATTTTAGTTAACCGCTCAGAGACACTTATGAACACACAACTTTCCGTAGAAGTTTTACTCTAGAACTTACCTTGGGCTATGAAGTTTCGATAAAAAGTATTATTTCTTTATAAGTCGGCCCATTAAATGGATCATTTATGCTTTCTCATCTTTTTTAGGGTTAGGTGTAAAAGCTGTCGAGGTCCAACAGATCATCTGCAGTAGTTTCAGGCGATTTAACAGTATGGCTGTGGTATAGAGTAGTCTAGAAAACGTATGTGACTAACAAGGTCTCCAAAAGTATAAGTCTGACATATAGGTATTTATAATTGGGGGCGTAAATAGTGAGATCTCAGATCTTAAAAAGAGATTTCAGCTTTCATATAGAGCTAACTTCATTTCACTTCAATCACTAAACCATCTGATAATCATCCCAAGGTGATTCCATAAATTTATTTTCAAAAACTTTTTCACTACACGATATTTACTGCATTGAAACCTCGTACCCAAAATGATCCGTAAATTTCTGTCTAGTAACTTCTTGCTTTCGAATTTTTTTCACGTTTCAAAGCGTTTGTTCCTTCATAATTTCAACTGCTGAAAAATATAATTAAGAATTCAACCGTTAGGCGCAGCTTGTTTGCCTTCATTACACTCTCTTACCATTCACACCCGTTTGCTACACCGTTGCCACATTTACATAGTCACTGTTTGCAATTTATTTCTTTTATTTTGCTAAAAAGAATATTTATCCTTTATCATAGTTTTACTGTTAGTTGAAAAAGCTATCAGCATCCAATGCATCATCTCCAGAAATTTCAAAAATACTGCATTGGAATACCCAAAGTGGTCCCCTCAGTTTCGCTTCAAAAGCACCTTGCTTTCAAATTATTTTCATGTTTCAAAACTTTTGGCCATTCTGATTTCGGCTGCTGAGAAATAAAATTAAAAATCACAAACGTTCGTCGCAGCTTGTTTGCCTTCATTACACTCTCTTGCTCTTCACATCCGTTTGCTGCACTGTTGCCACATTTACATAGTTACTTTTTGCCCTTTATTTCTTTGATTTTGATAATGCTTGTAGCTTGAATAGTTGCGCACTCTTTTGTTTTAACTCTTTGACTCAATCTCGATTGCCTCCTTTAGTTGCCGCGTCGTGGCTTGCCGTTTGGTTTTTTTTTTTTTTTTTTTTGTTTTTTTGGTTTTTTTTTTTTTTTTTTTTTTTTTTTTTTCTTTTTTTTTTTTTTTKTTTTTTTGGTTTTTTGTAAACCGTGTTATCGCTTTGGCCGCCAGTGTTGCATGAATTGCAACCAGCGTTTTCATCGTTTTCATGGTGGTCAATTTATGCCAGCTGCCGGCTATTGTCCGCATTTCCCTTTAAACCCGCCACACCGTGCGCTCGTACGCCGGCCCACACTGCTAGTACATTCGTGCCGCTCACAGAAGTAAGAGACTCCCTTTTTCCGGCCGGTCATGGCGCATTTACCAAATGACCTGCATAACTTTGTCTTCTTCCTGTCGATTTTTGTTGCCGCTGTCAGATTATGCTTACCAACTATCTTTCTTCCCGGCGCGAATCGTACGTTCCCATAGCTATTCATGCTCACTTTTTGTGGTTTCGTTTTTTTTTTTTTTTGGTGTTTTTTTTTTTTTTTTTTTTTTTTTTTTTTTTTTTTTTTTTTTGGTGTTTTTTTTTTTTTTTGTTGTGTGCTCTTCATGTATTCGACTGGGTGGTGTTGGTCATGTTCGTTCGGCCCCTGCGGGCAACAGAAGTAAATTAACTTTTAAATTGCGCCAAAAAGTTTGAAAACAAAAAACCGACAAAAATCATTATAATAAAACCGAAAACATAAAAGTATGAAGTATACAAAAAGGATGTGAACAGAAAAAATTGCCGCATAATAAGAAATTGAAACGTGCATTTATTTAGTAACCGATTCTTTTATTATACGCGGCTTTGTTCACTGGCTTTTTACTCGCCGATTTTTCAACTTTTTCAATTTTTATTTTCTGTTTTCTCAATTATTATTATTTTTTTTTCTTTTTCTTGATTTTTCACGTTTTTTCATTATTGTTACTTTTGCTGCTTCCCCCTTTTGGGCAGTTGTTTCAATGCTGATGATGCTTGATATTTATTGGCTTTTGTTTCGTGCACCTTGTTGTTGTTGCTTTTTGTACTAATATGTACTTATTATGCTGTTCGGAAATTGAAACATTTGCAGTGAATTAACTAATTGAAATGCGATTTTAATTGATGAGCTGTCAATGGGCTGGCAATGTGTGGCTGTATGTGTGCATTGTCGGCATTAATGATCGCTTAATGCATCAGTGGAAATGACACATACTTGACGATCATTAGGCTGCTACGACAAGGGTGTTTATTTCTTTACAAGCAATCAGCGTGTGAGAGAGAGAAATAAATGTAATTGCGACTTAATATAATATCAGAAGCAATAAATCTTTGTCTTTTTAATTTTTTAGTTTGAAACTTCTTGTTCAAGACGTTAATTTCAAAACAAGAACTTGACTTTAATCCAGCTTTGTACTGGATAATAATTTATGCCAAATTAAGAAGTTTTGCTCACTACAACTTGATTTTCATCGTTTAGCCAACTAACTACATGCTTTAGTAGTCCGACTTCGGCGGTTTGGTTCCGCTCTCTGTCGCTTTTTTTAATATTTTTTAAATCAATAAATTTTTCATATGGCAGTAGTATCTAAAATGAGCCCTTAAATAGTATATAGAAATATGCAACATTCCTGAAAAGCCTTATTTCGAAAAAATATTACAGGCGTATTACGAAAAAACCCCTTACTATCAAGCGGTGGACGTCTTCGATTCGCTTTTCGCTTCCCTCTCATTGCTGGCTACTGATACTGAGGAGTCATCTGTTCAACTCGTCTCCGGATCCTCATAGGATATTTCAGGCATTTGAAGCCGCACCCTCATCGCCGGACGCTCTTGTTCAGGCGTTCCCTATTGCATATTCACAGCTAAACTAAAATCTATAACTCTTGGTGGCCTGAGCTCAGCCAAAATGATCTCTGTCAGAGATTTTGAAGAGTTCACTGTTCAAATTTCAGCACTCTCCCGCCACTTTTCGCAATACCTCTTAAGCAACAAATCCAAAGTAACCATAAACATATACAATTAGTTGTGCACAAATATCGTAAAATTGCCGCAACAACACAATAATTTCCTTTTAATTAATTTCATATATTTATATCTCACATAAACATTTGTTTAATGGCTTGCTAATAACACTTAGTCATACACGAGCACTCAGTTTTATTACCTTGAATTTCCACTTATGCTAATATTTACTTAAGTTTCATATGCATATCTTCCGTTTTTAATGTTTGTTTAACATTTTCATGTCTTTTTTTTTTGTTTTCAGATTGCAACAAATGTTCAATATTCGTCACCGTTAGGGCGAATTGAATGGCAGTGAGTCAGTTTTGCATGACACGATCAGCTGTCACTCTGCTTAAATGAAATCAGCGCTGAAATAAAGGTAATGAAATATGAATACTTTACTTGTGAGACAATTAAGGAGCTGTGTAGATAACGTGGAGAATTTGTGATAGAATATAGTTCTAATAAAAGCGAATGAAGTGGATTTGAGACGCTTATAATATTGTGTATTGAATATGAAGTTCTCAGTTCGAAATAGCACCTGTTGGCAAGAATTATTCTGCATAAGATATCGTGGCTCTTGTTGGTGTAATGAAGAAGAATGATGAAACCTCCTTATCAATTCTTCAGCGCCGTATTTGAATAGCATGGCCGGCAATCCATCGGCGTCCACCGCTTTATTGTCTTCAGCACATAATCGCTATTCGAACTTAATGCAATGGGCAATGGAACGTCTGTTCTAACGTCATCGATTGGGGAATCGGGTTCACCATCTCTTGTTATTATGCTTTCACTGCCATTCAGCAGGCCAGAGAAGTTTCACTTTCATAATTTCAGTATGCTCGGGGCATCAGTCATTAGATCCCCTCTGTGGGTTCTACTAGCGTATGTTCCGTTCTTGTAACCCTCCGTAGTCGCCGCATTTTTTCGTAGAATTTTCGAGCATTACCGCTGTCGACCAGCTTGTCAAGCTATTCTCTATTTCTATTCTATTCTATTTTTCTCCACAAATGTGTCTCACGTCTTCTCCAACGACTTCGTCCCGTGCACAGGGAAAAGGAAATAGGATTCAGTACTCGAATTGTTGCGGTGGAAGAAGGCAAAATTTTCAGAATATCCCTGTTCGGGTCGATCATCGCAACATTACTTTTGGCTTATAAGAAGATGGCTCTTAAACCCTTCAACTTCAATTCACAGTTTGGAAAACGTTTAATTTGAAAAGAGGGCAAGAAACATTTTTCAACCATAACGAAATGAAACCCAACATTATTTTTTTCATTTTGAATGTTCAAAAACTTAAAGCATAGTCAAAACATGAACTTTTTCCTCGACACATACTCTCAGTTCTTATAGCAAATTCGTATTCCATTACTTCTTTCAGAATAACATCAATCTACTTCATTATCCGAATCGATTGGGTGCTGATCAAAGCAGAAAATGCATAGCTTATGAGCTAGCAAGAGGCGGCACACTTACGTCACGTCACTGACACGCGGGAATGGTATCACCTTAGACATCTTGTGTTCTAGCACTCCATCTTTGGGCCTCGCGTATACTTAGCAGGCGCTGGTCGATGACCAGTCTCTTCACGACTGCGAGATCGTTCCTATATCTAGAGAACAGAGAACAACGTAGGAAATCTACTGAACTACTCACTATTTCTTACGGGACATTGCCCAATATACAACAGACCGGCGTTATAAGCAGTCCAAGTGAGATTCCTAACATGGAGTATGTCTTTCAAGTTGCACTACCATAAATTCACTTGCAGTGTAGGCGTATCTCCATGCCATGCAATACCATACCGTACTCCATTCTCCAAACGCCTTTGACATTTTCCGAATTGCATTCAATATTTTTGAAATTAAATCACTGCACTTTTTGTTGGAGATATGTATTTTGAAGAGCACATAAACTCAATTTTATTGACACATACGTTTTTATCTATAGTTCATTTTAACTGACACGCTTTTTATGAGCGTATGGACCATATGTAATACATAGTTTATATATTTTATGGTTTTTTTTTTATAGAAATGTGACACTTCAAATTAACATAATTACTTTATGACGACATTTTATGGCGTTGGGCGCTAATAGAAAAAATAAAAACTCGCAAGTAATAAAGAAATTGAAAGGGCTCTTAGGGCGCACATAAATTAGAGGCTTTGTATGTTAGGTGTATTAGGTTGTTGCTGCTACAAATGTTGTAAGGAATATTAATTCAACGTACAAGTGTGTGTGTGTGCGTCATAAATGCCGCCAATCAAGTCACTGTGTTTAAAGTTTTGTTGCGTGGGTGCCGAGCGCTTCTTTTATTGCCCAGCGACAAGCAGGTTCAGCTACAAATTGATAACTGTATTAAGAGCTCGTAAAATGTGTGAAGTACACTGGTTGTGTGTTTATGTAGACGCTTGTGTATAGGCACGTTTTAGTCAAGGGCTAACAGGCAGACATAAATTTTCATATGTAAATGCATAGAAACATTTGTTGCAAGTGTTGTTGTAACAACAAAATACATAAATTGCCACTTTGTTATTTCGTTTAACACGAGTTTTTAGCGATTTTATGAGTTTCAAGAGTGGAAAATATAAAACTGCCAATCTAAAGCGCTTTATGGATGGGAGTTTATGTTAGTGCGCAGTTTGACGGAAAATATATTAAAATTTTATTAAAACTTTATTAAGAGTAGCATATTCGTTGCTCTCAAGTTAAAAATTAAATTAAATTAAATGAGATTAGAAAAAGGCATTAGCTTCAATTGCACCAAAGCTAAAATACCTTCATATACCTTCCTATTGATTGATTAGTTTGTATGACAGCTATATATGCTATAGTAGACCGATCTCAATGATTTCTTTAGAGATTATAGCGCTGTTGTGGGCAATAATCTGTGCCGAATTTCATGAATTCATCTTGTCAAATAAAAAAAATTTCATACAAAGACTTGATTTTCAAGGGTTAATTTGTATGGCAGCTATATGCTATAGTGGTCCGATCTCAAATTTTTATTTTATTTTTTTCAGATTTTATAGCGCGGTTTTGAACAGTTATCCGCACCAAATTTTATAAAGATATTTTCTCAAATAAAAAAGTTTTTCATACAAGTATTTGATTTTTATATGTCGGTTTGTATGACGGCAATATTCTATAGTGGTTCGATAAAGAAAATTTCTCAAGATATTTTAGCGCTGTTCTGGAAAATAATTTGTGCCAAGTTTCGTGAGGATATCTTCTCAAATAAAAAAGGCAGGTCAATTTGTATGGAAGCTATATGCTATAGTGGTCCGATGTGCAAAATTTCTTTAGGTATTGTAGAGCCGCTTTTGTGTATAATTCGTGCCGAATTTTGTAAAGATATCTTCTTGAATAAAAAAGTTTTTCTTAGCACAACTTCATTTGGATCGCTCAGTTTATATGGCAGCTATACGCTATAGTAGTCCGATATCTTAGGTTTGAACATGTAAGTAGCTTCTTGAAACGAAGAGGCATGCTCAAGTTTTCAGATCCATATCTCAAAAACTGAGCGAGAAATACGCGTATATACAGGTTAATAGATCGACTCAGCTCGTCACGGTTTGAAAGCTAATGGTTTTGAGTAACATGTTCAGAAACCACGTCGAGTTATTTAAGCATAAATCACCTACCGGTCACCTTATCGAAACTACGTAATCATATGTAAGGATAAGGATATATAAGGAAGCCCATCCCAGTACCCAAAACCGATTGACGAGCTCTATTTAGCCAATCCCTCTTACAAAACTAATTTCAAGCTTGTTAAGCTTCGACTTTTTTCTACATTTCTAGAGTCATAATAGTTTGTTTTACTAGATTATCAACACAACAATAGATCATCGGTCGCAATGCGAAACCTCAAATTAGCAAAATAGGCTTGTGTCTTTTGTAAAATATTTGACTCAAAACAAAGTCGGTTCATAAAGTAACGACACAAATTGTGGCATCTAGCTACATATAGTTCAAATTAACTATGTTTTGTGGTTTGAAATTTTGATTGATTTTAAATAAAAAATAATTTGTACCGTAAAATTGAAAGTACCTGTTTCACTGCTCCTCGGTATTGAATGTGAACTGCCATTCATCATGGGCTCAAAAGACACTTTTCCGTTATGAAACCGTACTGTTAGTTATAGTTGTTTGTGTATTTGAGGGGACTGATTAATTTGAGGGCAAGTTGAAATAACTAAGCTCTAATTTCGTCTGGACTCTGTAGCAACTCACTCAAATGAAACTACCTGAAATGAAAAGAATAAACAGATTAGCTATTTGATCGCTAACAGGATCCTCGATATCACTTTCAAGTAAGGTTAGACATAGTTTGGAAAAAGTATTTATGGATTTTCATGTGAAATTCCTTACAGATATACAAATATTCGATAGGATCACAATATAGATGTGAGTATTTTGTAACCCCACGCGCAAGCCGAACCACAAACACATTTCGGCAACCAGTCCGAGTCAAATTTGATGCTGAGTGTATAGTCTCGCTAGCCGAACCTCAAAAACTTTTCGGCAACCAGTCCGAGTCAAATTCGATATTGAGTGATAGTATTGCTAGTCGAAACGAAAAAACTATTCGGAAGCCAGTCCGAGTCAAAATTGAAACTGAGTATATAGTCACGCTAGCCGAAACGAAAACACTATTCAGAAGCCAGTCCGAGTCAAAATTGATCCTGAGTATATAGACCATGTATCCATGAATTTTAAAGAAAAATCATGATCTATAATATTAAATTTTAGAGCTTTTTCCAATTAGGTACAATAAAATCTTATTTTGCAAAGCTTGTTATTGTCACATGACTACTTTTTGCAAAAACAATTATTAAATAAAATCTATTTAAAAATTTTATAAACGCACTCATACATACAAACAAACACATTTCTCTACAAAAACACAAAATGTCCAAAGCATCAGAATTCTTTCCATTATTAAATTCTTTCAAATTGACTACAAGTATTTGTTTATTTTCGAATAACAGCAACAATTGATTGATTTATGCGAAAAATATTTGTTAGTGTCCATTGCTATTGAATATCAATTTCAATACGCTTGAGTAGTTGCAGGAAAACAAAAGAATCGACAACAATTGTTTGGCTTTGAAAGCATAAATTAAAGAGCTGCGTCAATTTTGTATACACTTTTTTCTAGTTGTTTTTTTATGAAGTATCTACACTCTGCTACAAGCAAATATTTCGACTTCCTCGATTTCATCAAAAGAACTAATTACATATGCCAAATGTGTAAAAGCGTTGGCAGACATTTCGTTAGCATTTGAATTGTAGGCTACTGACGATTTTCGAGGCGATTTATTTTGGGATTTGCTTGAAGAATTTCATATACTACATACATATGTATGTGGTACAACAACAAACTAGACAAAAAAAAAATATATTTTTTTTAAATATATGTGCCTCTAAATTAAATAGGCACATAAAGTGTCGCCCACCTGAAAGAATTTGACAAAAAGCATAACAGAGRGTTGCCACAAGCATTAAATTACAAATATATAAAATAAAATATTTCGTAAAGAATATATTACGATTTGTATAAAGGCATGTATTAAAAAATAAATCTACCAAAAAGTATTTTTTATATTTTACAGTGCTGCCACTTCAAAAAATTTGTTCATATGCTAGTTATGTCTTTAAATATTTAATTAATTAGTCTTGATATTATGTCTAGTGCAAAACGTATAATCCAAAGTTTTTTTCATAAAAATAATTTTGTGGTGTTACCAGCTGTCTAAAAGGGTTGCCATAAGCATAAAATTATAAAATATTNCAAAAAAGATACATACATTTTTAAGTGTTGCCATCTCAAAAAATTTTACATATGCTAGACATGAAAATATTTTATTAATTATTATTAGATATTATGTCGATTATGAAATGTATTAATTATTTTTTCCATTTATAATTTTATGGCGTTACCACCTGTCTAAAAATATTTTGTCATTTTTTAATTAGTTTTGCTTCTTAAACGTACAAAACTATCTGACTACAATATTGCTAATATTCTCAAAACTTGATTTTCTTACCAAAATATTTTATTTGTGGTGTTACCACCTATCTAAAATTATTAAATTAAAACACAGAAACAACTAATAAATAAAATCTAACGTGTTTTTATAAGGGCACGTATCACAAAAAAAAAAAAAAACTGAGATACGGTATATGTATTTTTCAGGGTTGCCACTTTATAAAAAACAGATTTTTAATGCAAGGCATACATATGTATGTAAATATGTAGTTAATTTTTTTTACATATTACGTCTTCTGAAATACATTCATGTAAATATATTTTAACGGTGTTACCACTTGTCTCAAATTATTTTATTAGTTTTCTTACTAAATTTTTGCGTTTGAAATGTGCAAGATTTCGTATCTACAATACTTTTATTATTACTTAAAATTGAATTCCTTACATATGCTATATAGTTTAAGGTGTTGCCACCAGCCAGCTTACATAGTTTAAAACACAAAAATAAATTAAATAAATAAAATATTATGTGTTTCTACAAGGAAACGAATCAAAAAAAGTATGTTAAAAAAGATTGTATTAATATTTTACAAGGTTGCCACCTTATTAAAATTGTTGCTAATATAAGTCAAATATGCAATTATTTAATTAATCTTTTTACATATTATGTGTGCCAAAATACACATGTCTAAATATTTTTTTACGGTGTTGCCACCAGCTTAACATTAATCTATTTTTTTTTCTTTTTAAAATATCGATTTATATACATTAAAATATATCGTCACCTAAAATCGAAATTGATTTTTTTAGTGCTTACGATTCACTACATTATATGTATTACATATCCACAAAATTTTCAGCTTCCGCTCTCAGATTTAATCAATATATAACCATTTTGTAACCACTTTATAACCAAAACTAAATTTTTTTCAATTTTTTTTCGTTCGCCTGAAACCTTATAAAAAGTGAAGTTACGTTATTTTGGATTTCAAGTGACGATAAGCGTTTATACGACTTAAATATTTGTAATCTTGCACAGCCAGCAGCCGCACTGACGCCAAATAGCCTACAAAAAACAAACAATAAGCTATATTTGCATTTTTGCATGAAACACTAGCTCGGTTATTTGTAGTAAATGTATATATATATATTTATATATAACATGTACTACATATACATATGCTAGTATATATGTATTCCATGCGATGCTTTTTGCTATTTTTGCGCTGCGATTTAAAAATAGCTACAAAATCGACATTTGTCGGCGTTCGACAGACTGAGCCCAACGCAACATACACAAGTATTCATATATATATACTTACAAACCATACAATATACAGTACGTTTACAAACATATATACCATATTGTATATTGCGCACATATTGTACGTATTTTGCTCATCAGAACTTTGAGTTCTAAAATGTCTAGGCGCGCAGCTGTAAGGGGGGATGTTGATAGAAAAACGCTCGTTCCGGCTTGTCAATTAGCTGACGAGCTTCCCTAAACGGCAACAAATATGCTTGTACCCAGTTGTTTTCATTCATACTCATTCATAGACGCACACACACATACATACTGGTGTCTAAACGGAGCGCACAGACAATCAGCGACCTTTTAAAGTTGCTATTTGCAGCGCGTCGAAAAAGTAGAAAAGAATTCAGCTTGACATACAAACCTTGCTGCCAATTTTGTTATATTATTTTTGTTGCTGTTGTTGTTGTTGTTATTTRCTTTGTAATTGAAATTTACGCGAATTTAATTAAGTCGTTTGCCATATTATTTGATGTTTTTACACAACATTTTCCAATTAAACATTAGAAACGCATTCGCTTTGCTACTGTTGCCTTTGTTGTTACTGTTATTGGATTTTTCAATTTTTTCCTTTATCTTTGAATTGTTATTTTATCACTAATTATTCCTGTTGTTGCTTGAGTAGTTGTGAGATGTTTGCTGTTTTAAATTTTATCTCGCTTGAGCGCTTTTTAAGGCAGTCGTTTTTGAAGTATGATACTAGTGTGGTTGGTTGATTTACCTAAAAATTTGGCAACAAGGAGACGAGCGTTCCACTTGCATACTCTATATAATAATCGTCAAAAACTATTAACAAAAAAACAAAAAAAGAACATTTCTTTTGCTAAAAGGTTCACTAGCCTATCATACTAACCTAACCTACATACGTTGAACGAGCGGGTAGAAATCTTATAGCGAGTTTAAATTGAAAAATCTCACATAACAGAAAATGAAATTAGAAAAACAAAATCCACAAAAACTCCCCTGACAAGCAATAGTAGAACCAATAGTTAAAACTGTATAAACATTGGATTCAAATCTTATAGATGAGTTTTGGAACACCAAAGAGCCAAAATTTCATTTTGTCGATCGAAATGTTGGAGACACTCAAAAAACAAAACAAAATTCGAAATTTAGAAATCTCTAAATTTGAAATATGTAATGATTTGCCTAACCTTGTACAAAGCAAAAATTTAGTGGGCGGTGTGTGCCTTATGCTTTAACCAATGCATGAAAGATTAGCCTTGGTTGGTCCGCTTTCATTTGAAGAAGGTATTTCTGGTACAGGAAGCTGACAAAACATTTGATTTCTTCTTCAAAAACTTACAATAAAAACAACTAAAGTGAGTCTTATAAGTTTGATATGGAAGCAGTTAGATTAGGTTAGGTTATACAGATCGACTGTACAGCCATACATAGACTTACTGGTACTTAGTTATCCGAAATGGAGGCTTGGTTTAACTTGAACTGAAGTATTAGCATACAAGACGTTAACGCAAACTTTAAAAGCGAGTTGATATTTTTATACTTCATCTATCCTTTTAAACTCCGAAGTTTCTAGATATCTAGGACGAGTTCTATATAATGCTGGGCGAAGGCATTATCTCTTGTCTGCTTCACTGCATTTTCTGCATGTGTTGCTGTCTTAGAAAAATTATGCGAGTTTTTCTTCAAGGCTCTAGCAAATGATCTTGACGATTCTGCATATCCTTATCCGTTTGCCAGCTTTTATGAAAATTTCATATTTCCTGTACTGGTTCTGTAACCAGATGGATGGCACTTCCAAGCACATCAACTATTTCGTATTCCCAAAACGAACTTGTGTTCTGGAATCAAGTCTGTAAGCAAACGCTTTCCGACAGCTGCTTCATCTACTGATTCCCGGCTTCTAAGAACATTTTCTGATGTAATGCGATGTGAGATGATTACCTTAATTTTCGAAACACTATCCACTAGTATCCACC